AGCACCCGTGAGTTTTCCCAGATTTTTCTCAGATTCAAGATATTGGGTTCGATTCCTTTCACAGTAGGAACTCAACATTATTATCTGCCATCTTCTTTGACCTACCACACAAACATGGGAGCAAAACAACAGCCTTTAAATAAGTCTAATTACCAATTAGTAAATATTACTTTTAAACAAGTGTAATTGCTATACAGAAAGCTTTCATTTTAGTCAATTTTTCACTCCTATTTAAAAAATAAGTTCCAAAACTACATTCAGGAGGAGAAATAGCTTCGGGACTTGTATAACTCTGAGTTAAGAGTTGCATGAAATTGTCTAACTGCAACTCTCCCAGGATTTCCAGTGCAAGTTGATTAGTCAAACCAGCAGGCTTACTCAGTAACAGATTCTGCTTTGGGCGATGCTAGTCTAGCTATGCACCTGATCAAATCTAACCAAGGAATTTGGGCCGCACTGTTTTTGATTGAAGATCCATGCCATAAGAGCTCTGCTCTTTTCTATGTAGGACATGAAAAGGGGAGTTGACGTAATTATGTGCCAATTAAAGTAAAAAAGGAAACATCCAGATACTTAAGGCAAAGGGATTGGAGGCTTGAACTATGCAGATAGCAATCTGAGTTCTCATTTCCATTCTGCCTAGAATAAAAAGCATTTTATAAATAAAGAGTACTGAGCAGAGATTTATAAATATTGTGTGTAGTATGATGAGCAGAGATTCCCCCAAAGATATTCTTTCCTTGCTATTTCAGCAATTGTGGTACTAATCAAGGCCATTTTAGTTCTTTTCATGTTTTTCAAATTTGCAGAGACTGATGCTGTTTGTCCATGAATTATCAGGCAATATATTCTCACATGTATGAAAATATAATTTTTTTAATCCAATTTCCACTTACCTTGGACCTCTGAAGGAGACAGGCTAACATCATGTAGAATGTGGGTAACAGCTATCAACAATTCTGGTTTGTCCTCAGGCCTGCAAGCTAGTTCTTTCTAAGAAGCAGGTTCTCCTCCAGCTCCCCATCACTTTCCTATTACCTTTGCTTGTTATCTCTGCTACCCTGTTGTATGCTTTTCATTGCTCTGATGTGTCATCACTGGTAATATCATTTCTCTTCTCTTGGGTACAAGCACCTTCCATGCCAACCCTGTAGGATGTGGATCCAATGGGTACTTCAGACCATGCCTACTTGAACCCTGTCTGTCCTGATGTTGTGGAATAATTTGGCATGACTTCAGAACACATCACTGCCCTCCTACTCATAACTCTGTCTTTTTTCCCTTTGATCCATATTATTATGTTAATGTAAATTAAGACTCTGCTCATGAATCTTCATATCAACGTATTACACTATTATTACAATATTATAAAATCTATTCAACTGTACTGCAAAATTTGGTAGCACTTTTATTTATTCATTCATTATTTGCTTTTTTTTCTTAGCAGTGTGATATATACAGTCTATCAAAAGTGTGAATAAAACAAAAAGTCTGATGTTCCTGTGAGTAAGAGGGAACCCCTCCTTCCTCACTGAAACATCAATTCTTCCTGGGTCTCAGGTCTGCCATCTTTCTAATTTGAACCACACTATGATTTCCTCTGGGTCTTTAGCTTGCCAACTGCAGATTTTGGGACTGTTTAGCCTCCATAATTACATAAGCCTAATGTATGTGTGTGTGTGTGTGTGTGTGTGTGTATATATATATATATATATATATATACACACATATATATATATTTTTTTTTTCCTTCTCTGGAGAATCCTAATACACCCAGGTATTTGTTTTGTTTACTACCCAAGTTTTTTTTTTTAATTTGTTTTCTGAATTACAAATTTGTATGGTTTTATTTCCCTCAGTTGTAAATAATTGAAGAACATCAATCCCAAAAGATCTATGACCACCTTCATCCTTTCTCTCCTGTCAAGTGCTCTGGGAATTCCCCAAACGATGCCTCATATGTGTTCATGAGCATGTGTCTCCCATCAACTTCCCCTGCTCTGCTCTCACTCCTTGATGTCTGCCACCTGTGAAGCTTCTTAAAGTCACCTCACATGTTCCACCACTGAGAAGCCACCCCACCCCCACCCATGAACCAGCAGATCTTGTGATCTTCCCAAAGCCAATTGCCGATATATGAATGCTCAGAGTAGTGCCCACTTCTGTACGACTGGGTTATCCCTACACCAGGCAAAGAATTGCTCCTCAACACTGTGTCATTTCTCAACTCACCCTCATATGATAGCTAGACCCTGCTGGGACTATTACGAGAGCTTGTGAAACTCTGGGAAGAAGCTGAGCTATGTTTCTTTCCAGGTTTACTGTATCCACCCAAGTTTTAAAATTACTGGTTCCATTAGAGTCTTAGCTCTAGCTCAAAGAAAGGATAGTGTCTTTCTTTAGATGGTGTAAGGCTGTGTAAGCCTTGGCCATGTAGCTCAGTATCAAGAGGACAGACTTTATTTACCTGCAGAGATCCACAACCTTGAAATAGGCAGCTTATTTTATGCTAAATCTTCTCAACATTTGTGAAAATAAAATAGGATATTGACAGTATATATCTTTAAAAAAAACAATATTTTCAAAATATTCATTTGTAATTATTTTATTAAACAATCATCTTTTACATGTCATCAGATCTTACCCCTGAAGTTCAAAAAAAAAAAAAAAAACAGTTTGAGGTATTAAAACTGAAGGGACATTTGCACATATATTTGTAAGGCTGTCATACTACAATTACCAGAAAATTCACTAAATACTACATATAACTTCAGGTTTATTTAAATCTACATGAAACAAACATGGTTTATCTCATACAGTTCTGATTCTGCCATTTATGATGAAAGGGTGGAAAAAATGAGACTTAAGTTATTTCCAAAATGATATGTGTCCATTATTCAGTTCTATCAAATGGAGTATAGGATTTAAAAGGTCAACAGCTGAAACAGTAGCCATCCCAAAGCATAAAAATCAAACTGACAAACTAGCTTCAATGATATAATATCCTATTGGTAGAACTTCATCTTCAGATCAATGGCAATTCACTTAAGTTTTCTGAGATAGATTTACCAGAATATTTCAATATTATCCATGTACATATAAGGTCACATTAGTAGCAGAGTCAGTTAATCATATTAACACAGATAAAAGTTCAGAATAGTCACTTTAAAGATAGTTTGAAGTAACATGGAAGAAGAGATTGGCTTTTTAGGTGAGTTAAACATTTTTAATATTGAAGAAATTATCCAGAGACGTTTTAGATCCCATTTTACTTTATGTCTACACCTTGAAATAGAAAAGTTAAGGCAATTATATAGTTAATTATCATACTATAAACATTTGCCCTGAAATATTCAGGTAAATTGGAGAAAAAGTAGTTTTTGACTTGGTGATTGATTTAATTGTTAACTCAGTGTAGACACTCATGTGAAGGAAATCTAAAATTGTATAATTATTTGCATGTATTATAGTAAAATAATTTCTGAACAATGGGTCACAAATGTTGAATAAAAATTAGTTATTACAGCAATATTTAGTTAACACAGCATTTCTAGTAGCTGCATATGCTGAGTTTGGGTTTTGTCATTGAATTGTTTCATTTGCTCATTGTGTGAATAACTTGAACAAATAGAAGGTTGATGTTCTTTTTTTTATTAAAGTGTGGACTACTTAAAATTTGGCATTTTTATTTTTTACAAAACTTATAAAGGATCAAATGGACTCACCATGTACTCTTATAGGAAAATACTGTTTATTCCATAGCAATTATGACATCTATATGAAGATACCTTAAAAAGAAGTCCTCTCTAGACTATTTGGTTTGGCTGGCATAAAAATCTGGGGTAGGAAGGAAGTGCTGGGGTTGTAGCTCAGTTGTAGAGTGTTTGCCTTGCATGTGTGAGGCACTGGGTTTGATTCTCAGCACCACATAAAAACAAATAAATAAAATAAAGGTATTGTGTCTATCTACAAATAAAAAAAGAATTTAAAAAAAAAGAGTGGATTTAAAAAAAAAAACTGGGGGAAGGTCACTTGTTTTTTCCCACATAGACTGTAATAAATTTTTGTAAAGTACACTTAATGTAAATTTTCTATTTGTTTCTAGGGGCAGGGAAGGAATATGGTTAGTTAGAAACCCTTATAGGAACTCCAAGCATATGTGGTGGTGACAATGTCCTCTTCCCACAAACATGATTTATTTACTTATGTAATGATTTTTAAATTAAGAATAACATTTGCAGGGCTGAGGGTGCAGCTCAGTGGTAGAGCAGTTGCCAAGTATGTGCAAGGCCCTGCACACAGTCCACAGAATTGCAAACAAGAAAACAAAACAAAATGCAAAAAGAATAACCTTTGCAAGGTTGCGGACTGCTCTAAACACAGCTGCAACAGCTGAATTGTTTACCTGTGAAGAGAGTTAACGGTGCTGATGGTCTCATATGAATCAGGAGAGAAAACCCATTATAGCCTATTCCTTTCCAAGTTAATATGATCACTTAGTATCCTTTGGAAGTTATTTTCATTATTTTCTACACAAATGAATGTCCCAGGTTAAAATACATTTCCCAAGAGTTTGGTTTTTTCATTTGTATTATTTTTTAGTGATTGTTGACAGACATGAAAATCAGCCCCAAACACAGGAGGTCATAAAGTGAATAGTTAAATCTCAGGCATCCAAATTGGACAGTCCAATTAATATATACTCCCAAGCTGGAATTATGTGAAATAAAACAAAAAAACTGTCATTTTTAGGATCAAATATGCAAATCTAATATCATTGCATTGGGCTTTAATGTGTGGAGGGAACAATGCAATATATTTTATTTTTTGTATACCTACCTTTCATTTCCTAAAGCAACAACCAAAAGAAAATTGAAATGAAATGAAATATGACTGATCCTGTGAGATTTAAGTCTTGAATATTTAAAAATTATTGTCATTATGTCCATTGGTGCCATAAAAATAGGGTTGACCATGTTTATAAGTGACAATAGAAATATAATAAAAATTATTTCACTATCATCATGCTGGTAAGCTACACTATGTAATCTATCACATCTACAAATATCAAGTGCTGACTGTCATTCAACTCAGAAGAACACTGACTGCAGACACACACCATAGTCAGTGAAGCTTTCCCAGAGTTGCACCTGTCATGTTTACTCAAAGACTGGGTTTCTTATGCCATTCAACACCAAACTGGTGGGTCCCTTTCTGTGTAGAAGAGTCAGTGAGCACAGGAGAAGGGAAAAACTCATGACTCCCAGAATGACGATTCCTGATATCAGCGCACTGGTGACGGTGTTCAGCTGGAAGGGAGGCACATCCCGGGAGCCTGCAAGTAACAACAAACAGTTGCAGAGGCCGCATATCATCTATCTCACATTCCCTCAATCCAAACCTGCAAAACATCTGCCACCAATGTCTTGTACAACAATAGCAGGACACTAGATTATGCTCTAATCTATTTAGCTATAATTCAACCCAATTCCCAAAGAATTGCAGGGGTTAGAGGCTGGTATCACAATCAAGAACACCCCCCAAAACTGTAAAATGTTATTAAAATTGACCAGCAGATTACATATGAGTTCAAAACTCCTCAGTCAACTGTCATGTAAAATATAGCAAACCTGTAAAACTAAAGCTCATTACATTTAGTAGCTTACAGTTTTGTAACTTTGCACAAAAATTAAAACATAGCCCTTTTGTTTATAATACATGTTAATTATCTTACCAAGCTGTGAATTGTTGGTTGGAGTCTCATCTGGGGGGGGAAGGAAAAGAGAAGTGAAAAAGTCTCTTTGAATATTTACTTTTGTTAATTCTGACTCCATAAAAACTTTTTACCTACATCTCCCTTGACCTCCACTCACAGGCTGCACGAGAAAGGCACGAATGAAAGCCCTCCTTAAACCATTCTGCATTTCCATTTTCTGTTCCAAATGTTTTACATTTCATCATCAGTCTATTCCCTGAGCCCATAGCCTGCCATCACCCTGAGTATACAAATATAATCGCAAAATATATTGTGTTGTATTCTTTCCTGCCAACTTTGTTTCATCATTATCTTTCCACTCAGGTTAGTGGGGGTAGTAACTGTTAACAGCTATTACATTTTTTATGGCCCTATAACCTGCCATTTGTTATTCTGTTATAGGGAAATATTCATTATTTAGTGTCACTCTGTTTTAAGTATTGCCAATTTGCCCAACATTATCTGCAAAAACATCATTTTAAGTTCCAAGAAAATAAATTCACACTTAATAACTAAATGAAAGGAAAACATGACTCCTGAGCTCAAGTTGTAGTTTTATTTGCATCTGCTAAGTACAAGATTGAAGTTGTTGATTTTTCATTTTTCCTTGGCAAACATAATAATAGATGCAATGAACACTTTCATTTGGTTTCTTGATATTTGTAGTCCAATTTGTAATCATTTTGCTATTAACCCTTGAGCTTATATAACCAGTTAATTTCATATTTGTGTTAACATATGGGTGTATATGCATCTGTGTGTGTTATTTGAACCACAAAATATGTGCAGCTGATTGTTTATTTCTGAAGTATAAATATTATCACAATTAATGCATGTGTAATGCCACACATTTTATAAAATGCTACTTCACATGTCATCACAGTTAATCCTCATGATAGCCATATGGCTTAGATGTTATTGCTACTCCCATTTTACAGATGAAGAGACTTCCATCTGTCACAGTGTCTATGGCAAAGCAAACATATGTTAAGTTAAAGCTTAATTTTAGTCCTTTTTAAAAAATAATGTAAATTGGCCAAGTGTAGAAAACATCTTTGATTATGGAAATGAACACCTCAAGCTATAAACTCCAGGATTGTATTTGAAGTAATTAATGGGATAACCTGGTGAGATATTTATAAAACTACAATGCCATTTCTTTTCAGATACATGAATCTTGGCAGAAATGATAGTTCTGCTGTCTGATCTTGAAGCACAGTGTACAAAATTAATATGGCACTCATTCATAGGATATTTTGAAATGGCACACTGCATTGCAATAGGACAAAATAGAAAAATAGCACATATATTCATTATAGGACACCCTCAGGAAGGTCCTAACCTCCAACCAACACTACTTTATAGAGACCTTTCTTCTCATGGAAATATATGGAATGAATGAACTATGATCAATTCATCCAACAAATTTATATGTTCCTTTGACAAGATAAGCTGCTTCACTTGAACAGGAGAGACTATATAATGCCCCAAACTTCTGTTTTAAAAGTTTTCTTCTTTTTTTAAAATAAATCTCACTTAATTATTTTTAAAATATTGTTATTAAAGAATAGAAAGCACCTCTCTACTAAGAGTCTCAAATAAGAAAAAAATATTTTGGACAGGGTCCCCTAATGTTTTCTACATCCTGAGGTTAATACTAGTCAGACTGTCTTCTCTACTCCACAAATTACTGTCAACATCTATAGGAACAATAGCCTAGACGTTGCTATGGACAAAATCTGCCTGTGTGCTGGGACAGGTCAAATGAACACACTGGCTTCAGGTTTCACAAGTGAAAAACTAAAAGCATTCAACCACTGGCAGATGGTCAAAATCAAATAATGTAGTATTAGAATATAGTTTGAAATTGTATTCGGACATAGGGAATTGTTACATCTGGTTGCTGTTTCAGACATTCTCGCATGTTTTCATCATCATAATAAGAGACATGTCCAGCCCAGAAAGGGTAGGTAGACATTGCCTAGGAGCCTCTTGTCACCACACTCTTCAGTTTTCTCTTATACCTACTTGGTCTTGCCAAGTGCATATATGCTAAAAGGAGCACAGGAAGCCTTCTGGAATTAGAACAGATGGGAATACTAAGCTTGATAAGCTCTTCAAAGAATACTATCTGAGGATTCACAGGAGAAAAGCAATCACAGCAATGCTATAGTTGTTGGAAAGCAAGATATGGCAAAGTGTCATTCTCTGCTCTCATATAAAAAGTTAAGATAAATGAAAAATACAATAAATATCACTCCCTTCTTATCTCTAGCAAACTATTTGTTTTAAATCTTTTAATTACCTATGTAGTAAAATGAACCATCTATTTTAAGTAAAAAATCCCTGAACTTATGCTCATATAAATTTTATTTATTTGTTTATCTATCTATTTATTTATTTATCTATGTGAGTGTGTGTGTGTGTGTATGAATGTGTGTGTGTGTGTGTTAAGGGGGATGAAACCTGGGGGCACTCTACCACTTAGTTACATTTCCCAGACCTTTTAATTTTTTTTTTTTTTTAATTTTGACAGTCTTGCTAAATTGCTCAGGCTGGCCTCAAACTTGGATCTTCTTGCATCAACTTTCACATTGCTGGGATTACAGGCATGAGCCACCACACCTGGCTTCATATGAATTATTAATTACCCATAAAACTCAATGATACCAGTTCTACAAGAATTTGGTTTGGACTTTTCCACAGGGATATATGTTGAAAAATAATTAGGTATTATTGTTTCTGAATGTTTATATCAGAATTGTACTCAGTAGGCATTTTTATACTTAATCTGTTTGTTTTAATATTTTGGAATTTAAATAAGAACACTACAGGAATTTTTGCATTTTGAAAAATGTGAATTTTTCTTAATAAACTAAAAAGAGGATTAACACTGTTGAGTAAAAATAACCAAAGTAGATTTGATTGCATTAAAAAAAAAAACAGAACAGGAGTTCTAAGGCTTAACTTAGAAAACTTGACCTCAGTCAGTATCTAGGGGAAAGGCGTGGTTCGATGAGTAAATAGAGCAAAACTTTTAAGTATTAGAGAGATTTGATGAGAGCAAATCAAGCCTGAAATTGGACTTGTCCGTGTGAAATTGGCCATAGGACCTGGAGAGATAAATTCTAGCTGACTTAAGCTAAAAATACAGTGAGAGAAAGGAAAGAGGGTAACCTTGGTCATTAGATGAACATTAAGTTTACACAGGATTTGCCTGTGGATGGACATTCTGAATTCTATGTTCTTGTGCAAATTAGAAAAAAAAAAGAACTGAATGGATATTATACAGTCCATAATGTATCCAATTCTATCCATAGATTTACAGTATAAACACTGTTGTGTATGGACCTCTAAGCAGTGAATCCACAGTGATCATCAAAAGTGAAGAGCATCTGTTTTAGTCAGCTTAGTTGCTGTGACCAAAATAACTAATAAGAACAAGTAAAAGGAGGAAAAGTTTATTTGGGGCTCATGGTTTCAGAGGTCTCAGGCCATAGATGGCCAACTGCACTGCTCTGGGCCCAAGATGAGGTAGCACATCATGATGGAAAGGCATGGAGGAAAGGCCCTGGCCTCATTCATAGCGGCCAGGAAATCAGAGAGCAAGAGGGGTAAAGAGAACCACCAGGAAGATAAACCTTTCCAGGGAACACCTCCAGTGACCCACTCCCTCCAGCCACTCCCCATCTGCCTACCATTACCACCAAGTCCATTCATTCAGATTATGATGGACTATGATGTGAGGTTACAGCTCTCACAATCCAATAATTTCATTTGCAAATATTCCTGCACTAACACATGAACTCTCGGGGGACACCTCATTCAAATCATAACACCAATATACTGTTATTTATCAAAATAATAAAAAATAAATCCAAGGAGACTGAAGGAAGACACAAGGAGATCCAGAAGGCTTTAACATGATCCTTTGGGTGCTTTGCCAGTGGCAAAAACTGAGGGGACTCAGAGGTAACAGTAGTGTGTTGGTGAACAGGTGACACCCTTGTGGTGGAGACAGGTGAGAAGCTGGAAAGTAAGAAATCCAAGCAGGATGTTGGAGGAGTCATGCTAGCTCTTTGAGGTTTTAGCATAGCTGTTTTGGCAGGTGAATACAAGACAAGTGAAATCTACAAACCTGGATGGTGGGTTAGCTATGCTGGAATTAGAGATTTCTACTCAATAAACTTTATGGGATTTTGGAGTTTTAGAATTTTGGGGAGGCTTTCTAAGCATCATCTTATACTAACAAATTATTCCAATTTTGTAATACTTAAATTTGTTCCAGATAAGAAGCTAGCAAGAGGAAAAGCCATCTATTCAAGCTGGACAGAAAACATGTCTCTTTCAAGGTTCTTTTCTCATTAGCAAACTGACTCTAGTTATGCCCACATCAATAAAAATATTCTTTATTTTGCCTGCCCCAAAGCATTCCTAATTATTGGAAATAAGAACTGAGTTTTAATTCAATGTAGTTTTATGAACAATTTCTTACAGCTAGATAGAGATAAGAATTGGGTCTTTAACAAACCCCAAAACAGTCATTTTCAAGCCATTCAAAGCATACACCAAACCCTCAGAGAAAAGGGACTAAGTTCAAAATTTCAAATTTAATATACTTCTGCATTATTTAAAGGCTTATTAGTCTCTTTTTAAATAAGGTTATGTCTACACAAACACAGTGAAGTGAATAATTAAAGAAATTGCCTGAGCTTTTTTAGGCCAAATCCACTTCTTTCTTAATTATTTGCCGGTTGGGGGCAAACTTTCTTTTTACTATGAGGTGGGCAACATAAGGGAAAAGGAAAAGAAAATCTCACGGAAACAGCATCAGTCGTACACCAAATATAAAATGGAGAACACATTATCAGCATATAATCTGAACCAGAATTAGTCCATTTTTAGACAAATTTGGAACCACTAAAGTAGAATGAATCTTGATGCCTACTTTTTATTATTTGCCCAGAGAAAGGAAGTAAAATTCTAAGACACATGGGGCAGGGGGGTGCGGAGCTAGAACCAGAACCAGTTTTTACAACTTCAGTGTTGTTTGCATATGTCTATTTTATCCAAACTATCTGGCTGTGGCTGGTTTCACACTGACTTAAATCTATATGCCTTTGCTGAAAGTGTACAGATATGTGTGAGTACACATATGTGCAAATACCTATACACATGAGGATATATGCTGCATACAAGCAGTTGTGCCCTCTCCCTCGGGGAAACTCATGAGAATAAATGAGTGCACTGGATGGGGTATATATGGGATCCTGGAGGGAAACAGATAGTACTCAAGCTGGGCAATATAAGGAGTGTTTAACAGGACTGTTTACAAAGATGTAGAGCAGACACAGAGAAAGTCAAGTTCCCTGGAGTGTGAGTCAGGGGAAGAGTTTGCAAAACCCAGAGAGAGCAGTTTTGTAGAAGAAGTGACCTAACAGAATCAGTGTGGACTTCACATTTCTAGGCCCACCCACCTGCTGACAGCACTTCTAGAACCCCAGCCAGAAACCAGATGGTAAGGGGCGAGTGGGTGCAGTCCACGTAGGTGAGGTCATGGATCACACAGGACAGGGTGGGTAGGACAGATTCAGAGGGAGAGGGATGAGAGGGGAGGAAGAAAAAGAGAGGGAGAAAGAGAGGGAGAGAATGAATATGAAGGGAAAAACTTAGGGAGGACAATATTTTCCTTTGTGTGAAAGCTGAGTAAACAGGAAACTACTGTGAAATTAAAGCTGCTTAGCAGTTTATCTTGTCTCCCAGTTAATTAGTGCTGTTTAGGAACCACTTTGAGTTCTCCTTAGAAGCCAAGTACAGAGCCATTTTAGGAACGGTCTATTACTACATAGGAAAGAAAGTGCTCTCCTACCACTCCGGGTAATGATGGGACCAGCAGAGAGGACTGCATTGCCTGAAGTGCTCTGGGGGCTCCAGGTTGTCTTCTTCCCAGCATCTCTCCTTTCTCTGTGGCCACAAATCTGAGGTGTTAATGAAAACAAATGAATTTCCACACTAGCACAAAATAGTTTCTTTATGGCCATTTGGAAAGCAGATTCTTTTGGAAGAGATACCACATGTTTAATTTTATTCATTTCCTTCTGTGCATTTATTTAATTACTTTGTATATAACTGCTACAGTGTTTCTTATCCTGGCTTGGGCCACATTTCTGATTTCCTTCCCCAGCAATTGTACGCTGCCTCATTAATTTACATAGCTCAATGGCTCTCCTGAAAAAAGAGCTGTGTTTATCAAACTTTTTAACTTTTATCTCTCTCAAGCCTTTAATAAATTCTTCCCTAAAATGTTGGTCAGCACAGACCCAAGGTAATGCAGACTCTCCATTTACCTCCATCCGATACAATTAGGTGAGACCAAAGAGATCAATGTGCATAAAGAAATAGCTTCCTATTTATGCATGAACTGAGCATAAATATAAACATATTAAAGTTACTTTGAATTAAAAAAAATTACCTGCATTTTTCTCCCCAATATTGATTTAACCCTAGGGGGCCTATCAGAAGAGAATTTTAGATTTTTTTTTTAACTCATTTGCAACTGGATCTATATTTTAATGGTGGCTTGCCCTGTTTTAGTGTGTGTGGCTTTGGTATGGAGCCTCCTTTCCTATGGACCGTCTCTGACTTTGCCTCTCTGGGGTTCATCCATCTTCAGAGTCATATCTGGGGCTCATCTCCTCCACCAGACCTTCCAATCTTGTCACAATGGTGAGTACTGCCTCTTACTGAGACCCATATTTGTCTGCTTTCTTGCTTTTTCTATCTCATGGTCCTAAAAGATAAGCTAATTGAATTAAGATTTCATAAATGCTTCATCCCTGTATCTCCTGTATAATGTTTGGCACAAAGTAGACATTCAATAGATCTTTGCTGGATGGATGTATAAATCCTACTTCAATTCATTAGACCAAATGCATGTCCACTTTCTACACAGAGATTCAATCCTGCCACATGATAACCTTTCAGCCTAGATTAATCCAACAATTCAGAATGAAGTGGCTTCAAAACCTACTGGCATAAGAAAGGGGCAGTCATCGGCTCTGCAGAGCTTGGTGACGCAGTGCAGGAAGACAGTGGACATTTTCTGATTCTTGTGTTTCACAAATCGGAACACCTCGAAGGAAAACCGGCCGCGCTGGCTTCTGCCATTTTCAATGACGGTGGTCTGAGGATCTTTGTCACAGCTATAATACAGGGAGTGTGAAAAGAGGACATCACTGCAACGAGGCACCAATCTACTGAGACTTGTACATTAGTCTTTGTAGTATTAAAGGTACCCCAATACATTATGCACTAACAGAACCATGCCATTTTATATATATTTAATAAAAGCATAAGTTAATTCAATACTTGTGACAAGAGTAACCTGGATCATAAATTTAAATATATCAATTTCTGATTACAATATTACTGTCAGATTTTAGGAAGATTACACTTCCATAAGATTAAAATAACCAACTAATATAAAATGTAAATAGTGAAGTCGTCCCCGCCATCTTTGCACTGCTCAAACATCCCATCATTCCATATTTTTAAAAAAGCCTTACAGACATAACTGTTTATTTATGCATTTTTTCAGGTTATATGAAACAGAAACACAAGAATAGATTCTTATTGTTTCCACCTCCTTAAACAAATGATAGTTTTTCTTTTTTAATTTAGTCGTGTACCTTAGGGCTCTTTCCATATTAATATTTAGAGAGCCAACTCATCCCTATTATACAGTTGTATACTATTCCAACATGCACATATGCTAGGAACTATTTAATTAGTTCCCTATTTAGGTTATTGTATTTTTTAAATAATTTTCTCTTTGAAAATGAATAAATAATGAAAAGCCTTGAAATACATTATTTTGAACATGTGTAAAACGTTATCTATTAAATACATCTCTAAGACCATTTAAGAGATATTGCCACAGTGTCCTCTATAAATGTTGTATCATTTTGGACTTCAGCAGCAATTTATGAAAACAATCTTCATTTCTTCAGTGCTTCAACAGCAAAGCGTATGGCTACCATTTTGGATTTCTATTTGATAGTGAAACAAAACTATCGCATATAATTTTGACTTGCATTTTTCTAGATGTGAATGAGTTTTTGTATCTTTTCATAAATATTAGAGCCATGTTGTTCCTTTACGTGAAAACTGTTTTTATCCTTTGCCCACATTGTCATGATGTTGGCCACTGTATTTCTGATTCTTATACATTCTTTATGCAATAGGAAGAGTGACTGCTGACTTGTTAATAAATTGAAAGTTGGTTTACTTTTTTTTGTTTGGCTTTACTTCAAAGTTTTAGAGGTATTTTTCATGCATGCTTTATTCTATTATTTTAAAAACTGTATTTTGACATTTGAATTAACAATCTATTTAGAGTTCACTATGTTATAATGAGCAAAATATAGATCCGATACTATTGTTTATCTCATGGTTATCAATTGTCCAAAGCCCTTTCAAAATTCCTTGTCTATCCCACTAATCTGTGGTACCCTCTATCAGAGACCAAATCCCTCACATGTTTTGAGATCTGTTCTTTCACTATTTTGTAGTATTTGTCTGCTTGTCTATTCTTACCTAATATCACATTCCATTAATAATTCTAAAGGTGTTTCTAATCAGGACATCTGAAAGGGCCATACCTTCCTCATTTTCATGTTGATCCTCCACTGGTATTTTTCTATTATATACCTGCCACTTATTCTTTGGTTCCTTGATCACATTAACTTAGGATTCTACTTAATTTGCTTTTTCAAAGAATCTATATTTTCTTAATTTATTTCCATTTTTTATATGTCTTAGTTATGAGTTTTCAGACTTCCAAGTGATAAGGACATCTATTTTCTAGTATTATTTTAATTTACTACCTCTCAACATAGAAGTTATTGGTAATGTCATTAAGATCTTCTCTCTCCACACTTAATTTGAGGCCATCATAATAAGTTTCTTGAGAGGTAGATTAAATTTTATTGTGTTTCTGACTATGTCTTTCTCAATTTCCCCTAGCTTACACTTTATGAAAGCTTTGATTTCACTCAGAGTATATTTTCACTATATCAATGTAAGTTTTCTTTTAATTTAGGAAACAATTCCTGAATTATATCTAATAATAACTATTCCTGAATTATATATGACAAATTTATTACATATAATTTATTCTATTATTTTGGCTTTTTTAGGGGGGATTCTAATTATGCACACTACACATATATGGAATTTTCTTGACCTACCTATTATTTGTATGTTTCGTAATTTACTTCATTTTATATTATCCTTGATATTTGTTTCCTTTTATTTGTATTTCTTACTTTCACCTTCTGTGCTTTCTACTTATCTGTGCTCCCTTGAATATTTTCTAATTGTGTCTTCCTTTCTATAATGTACTTATTTTTTCTATTTCCATCTTAGGTTATCCAAATTTCCTTTTTAGATGTTTATGGTTTTACCATTTTCTGTCTTTTTACTTACCTGAGTTCTTATAATTCTATCTTAATAAGTATGATTATTTATTTATTTATTTACATTTTTTTATTTATATATGACAGCGGAATGCATTACAATTCATATTACATATATAGAGCACCATTTTTCATATATCTGGTTGTATACAAAGTATATTCACACCAATTCATGTCTTCATACATGCACTTTGGATAATGATGTCCATCACATTCCACCATAATTTCTAACTCCATGCCCCTTCCCTTCCCCTCCAACCTCTCTGCCCTATATAGAGGTTGTCTAAACCTCCCCTGCTCCCTCTCCCTATCCCACTATGAATAAGCCTCCTTATATCAAAGAAAATATTCAGCATTTGGGTTTTTTGGGATTGGCTAACTTCATTTTGCACTATCTTCTCTAACTCCATCCATTTACCTGCAAATGCCATGATTTTTTCACTTTTATTGCTGAGTAATATTCCATTGTATATATATGCCACATTTTTTATCCATTCATCTATTGAAGGGCATCTAAGTTGGTTCTACAGTTTAGCTATTGTGAATTGTGCTGCTATAAATATTGATGTGGCTGTGTCCCTGTAGTATGCTGTTTTTAAGTCCTTTGGGTATAGACTGAGGAGAGTGATAACTGGGTCAAATGATGGTTCCATTCCCAATTTTCCAAGAAATCTCTATAATGCTTTCCCTATTGGCTGCAACAATTTGCAGTCCTATCAGCAGTGTATGAGTGTACCTTTTTCCCCACATCCTCATCAACACTTATTATTGTTTGTATTCATAATAGCTCCCATTCTAACTGGAGTGAGATAAAATTTTAGAGTAGTTTTGATTTGCGTTTCTCTAACTGCTAGCGATGATGAACATTTTTTCAAACATTTGTTGATTGATTGTATATCATCTTCTGAGAAATGTCTGTTTAGGTCCTTGGCCCATTTATTGATTGGGTTATTTGTGTTTTTTAGTGTTTAGCTTTTTGAGTTCTTTATGTATCCTAGATATTAGTGCTCTATCTGATGTGTGAGGGGTAAAGATGTAGGCTCCCAAGATGTAGGCTCTCTATTTACCTCACAACTGTAAATCCATATGCAACAAAATGAAATTAAACCCCTACCTTTGATCATACACAAAATTCAAATCAAAATAGACCAAGGACCTAGGAATAAAACCAGAGACTCTGCATCTATAATTAAAAAAAAAAGTAGTCCCTAATCTCCATCATGTGGGATTAGGCCCCAACTTCCTTAATAAGACTCCTTTGGCACAAAAATTAAAATCAAGAATCAATAAATGGGATGGATTCAAACTAAAAAGTTTCTTCTCAGCAAAAGAAACAATCTGAGAGATGATTAATTTTTGATTATTTAAAAAAAATAATGTAGGAATGTTAAATTCCAAATCTTATGTATTCACTAACTGTGTTTTTGTTTGTTTCTGGTGAATTTAAATTAAATTCTTTTCTGCCATTTTCAACATTTTTCTTGTATTACATTGAAATACTGTAGGAAATGGCTGTATTTGTTTAACAGTTTTATTTGAAAGATTTAGGTGTCTCTGGACCTGCTATTTTCAAAGGAATCCTAAGAATACATGGAATGGGAGTGGCTTTCCTCAGGGTTCCCCAAATTAAAGAATTATTTCACTATGACAGATAAACTGTCCACACTGTAGCAACTGCATAGCTGAGTTTTTCATTTCAGAGGGCTCTGCCATCAGCCCTGAGTTCCTCAGGTTCAGTAACCATCCTTGTCCCCAAGGGTAGGACCCTGACGTCTCAGGTGGTTCCCTTACCTTTACAAGGGCACATTCATAAAGCCTGACACTTTATGAATACTGAGGTTCTAGGCACCATTTCTCCTCATCTTTACTGCTTTTTATCAATATTAATGCAAATTTTGTAGGTTTTTCTTTCTTAGATTCACTAAAAATGACATTTGGGAAGTTTTGTTTGTGTGTTTTTAGAAGATTCAGGGATAAGCTACCACTATATTCATACTATTCATGCCATATTCATACTTTTCATACCATATTCCAGATTATCAATATGTAATTATTGTAGAAACTTTGGAAACCAAATGATGCATGATTCTACCATGTATAAATAACCACTATGAACTGTTCAGTGTTTTTCCTTACAGTCTTTTCTATCATCTAAATAAAGCCTACTATATATGTAATTGCATGTGCCGATTCTTCCCCTTCTTATTTTAATACATTTAAATTTTAAGGAATTATATATTACCAAGGATAGAAGTATCAAGAAGATGAAAAGAGAAAGGGTAGATAAAGTAGGACCAACTATCTTTTTCCATTTAATAAATAACTATATGATTGTAGTACCTGGGTGAACTTTCAATTTGCTAGTTCTCCATAATTCTCTTAGCTGTTTTCTTATTGCTGAATATACAGTTCATTCCCATGTTTTACAATCTTAAATAACACTGATAGATGAGAACATCATAAATATTATAAAATATAATTCTCAATTTGTAAAAATAGATCCAAACAATATGAAATCCTTTAATGCTTTTGATGCATATTAACATTTTTTTCCCAAAAAATTCTTGCCCAGATCAACTCTTCCAGTAATAGGATATGTAAGAGTGTCAGTTTGACCATACCCTCTGAACATCATCTTAACCTTGATTAGGCAATAAAACATATTCTTTTGGTTTCTCATTATATTACTCCCATCATGTGTCAATAAGCTGCAATGATCTGAGCCAACTGCACTTTATAAGCATGCTTAGAAGACAATGCTTAACTCTCAAGCCTGTTCTGCTGTCAGATAAAAAATGCTGAAAGGGAACTGGAATGACTGAATGGCTTTATGATCAATGTCCTCTTTCCCCAGATGTAGATTACGTTCACTCTATCACTGTCTGTTGGGAAATGAAGTTACTGGCTCTGATAAAAAAAAAAGGAGTGGTAGGCTATATTATATACTTTCATATTAAATACTGATAAATTAGATAAAGCATTTGGGGATCTAAATTATCCAGAGCACTACTTTAATTTTGCTCTCCTTTTGACATATGATGAGATGGTCTAGCTGCAGATAAATAACACCCTTCCATTGCCTTTCTCTTATTGCAAATAATATCCAACCACGCTTTTCCTAAGATAGTGAAATATTCCCATATCTCCTAAACATGAATAAAACATTTTGGGTGGACCTAACTTAATTGAAATTCTCATCCAACAATAGCTTTATCAGCATTTTGTGTTGAAAACCATTCTCAACTTTCATACTTATAGTTTTAAAGGACTGAAAGTCCCAAATCTAAAACTTTAAATTCAGAAGCTTAAAACAATATCCTGAAATTTGTTTGTCTGACCTAGGTTTTCCATTTCAATCATCTATAACTAGATCTTTGGTATCTATACACAATTTAAGACACCTACCTAAGGAAGAGGTCATACCGAATGTCATCGTTTGGATTCCCTGATGGGGTTGTATAGCAATAATCCATTAAGACATTCCATCTGCAGAGAGAAGCAAACATAATCTAGAGACAAAATCCTCTTTTGAGTGTTGGATATTAATCTAAGGGAAATAAATATGAACTAATTTCTTATCATAACCATGGAATAGTTTTTATTACTTGTTATCTCTTATTGCAGAAACTTCTTGTTGATTAAAATTTTCTTCTAAACTGAGCTGTTTAAAAATATGAAACTAAGTGTTATCCCCACATCAAATAGGTTGAGGCTAATGCCACACACACATACACACATACACACACACACACACACACACATACAGAGAGAGAGAGAGAGAGAGAGAGAGAGAACATGGCAAGTAAATGGTTAAAGTCTGAAAGAAGGAAACCCCAAAGTGAGCTACACAGCTACACAGATGTTCATTTTTCACTATGAACAAGGTTACTTTGTTTCCAGAAGTTACTGTCTCTAACATAAGACAGAGAATGTTATATCAACAAGTAGAACAAATGAGTTTGTTGCATAAATGATGTGCCAGAATCAGTAGGGTAGAAGTGGGAATTTACCATAGGCACTTTATTAGGTATGAGAAAGCCATGAGGCAAATACTCCTGCCCAAGGCCAGAGTGGGACTAAGTTTATACATTATTTCATAACATCTTTGGAATGGGAAGCAAATATCATTAATAAGGGGAAAACATCCTGCATGCAGCAAGACAATTTTTAAAAAATCATACATATTCATGATTAAAAACAAAGAAAGAAGGCAGAGAAGAACCAAATTTCTAGATTTTACCAATCTATTCAGAATGCAGTTTAAATAATAGCTCACAAGAAGCCCCAAATAAACCATTTGATATTATATTTTTATAGGACAAGATTAGAGCTTCAACTTTTGAGTTCCCTTTCAGTTTTGATTACTTTGAATTTTATAAGAATTACAGTAAACCTAACTAATTTCGTTTTTTGATGAGATGTTTAATATAATTTCAGCCCAGATCCTCCTGAGGATAGTTCTTTTGTTTGTCGATAAATAGTAAGATATATATGGAAAAGCACACAAATCAAATGTGTTCCCAAATAGTCATAGTTTATCTGGTTAATCATCTTTCTGATGAAAATATAGAACAGTCTAGCATCCCCTAAGATTTCCCCACACCCTCTTCCAGTCATATCCTCCTTTCTTTATGGGAAGCCTTGTTATTTTCCAATTAATGACATAAAATGAGTGTTACCCCTTAGACTTTGTAATTTGCTCTTTCTTTTTATAAGCATGCCTAAATGGTGTGGCAATGACAGTAGTGTTTAAATTGAATTTAAAAATGAATAAGCTAACTTTATGACTCAGGAGACTTACATGTTCTATCCAACAAAAGATAAGTTTGAAAATACCTTCCATCCAGATTAGTGGCTTGAACAGCTGCAAATACTTTGGTTTTCAAAGGTAATCCTATACTTGGGATAATTAACTGCTGACTGTAGGTTGAATCCTAATAATGAAGTAATAAATAATGTATCATTAGCTTCCCAACAATAGCACATTTACCACTTAAAACAGTGTTACAGAAAAAAAAAGAACAGCTAAATCAATACAACCACCTCCAAAAAGGATTCATTTAATTCTGATTCTTAGCAGAAGATCTCTTAAACCATATTCAGGTAACAAGTTGATTTCCATACATAAATCTTTTTTTGTTTCCATAGTTTAATAGCTAATGTCCATTGTGTTTAAATTACATCCAATTGTCAGTGGCTTAATTCAGTTTGTTTAATATTCAATGGCCAATGTTCAGTTTATCCAAATTAGTGTTCCATTATTTTAGATTATAAAGAGGCTAATGCTTAGTTTATTTAAATTATACCTGCTTTGATTTAAGCCCTTTCTTTTGGGTTGGTAGAACTTAAACCTATGGTAATCTTGCATTTTCCTCAACTCACTTGCCTGCAATTTGAAATTTAATTGAAAACCAGAAAACAGACCAACACACTCTCCGAGTTGTCAAAATACATGCCACAGAGTTTCTGCACCAAAGTTCTTAGTGATTACTTATCAAAAGGCCTATTTTAACTTATTTACCTTTATTTTAGACCAACCCTAGGGAGTTTATTTATATCACTTCCCAATCTTTAATAGATTAAAGCAGTAAATTAGATATTAAGAAGTGGCATCTATAATTTGAAAATCAAAAAACAGAAAATTGTAAAATGCAAAAATGAAAATCTCAAAATTTTAGCAGCCAAATCATTCCAGTTACAGAATGATTGTTTTCCCCAAATTTAGTAATTCTAAATTTATTGCTGTTTTGCAGCAAAAGAACTCTTTTAATGTTCACTACGAAATTTCAAAGTCACCAAAGAAAGAAAAAATATAAGCTTACTGTCTTTAGGAGGCTGGGATAAGAGCAACATAGTTTGAATTTTTTTAATTAAGTTAACAATACTTTGTATGCTTTGCTTTTGAAAAAAAATGTATTCATATAGAACATTTCATTCCCAAATAAAGCCAGATAAATGAGGAACTATGTTACACTTATAAATGGTTAACATTCTATATTATTTTCTGTATTTCTAATTATTTCCTATATTTCTGTGATAAATGATGACAATTCCTTTAAAGATGTCAGATAGTTAGTATATTTATTTAATATCTTTCTGGTTCCCTCTTTCAAAGTCTCTAAGTAAACTGCACTTCATTAACTAGACTGCTGCTTCATTTTATGTTTTATCAATATTGTCCCAAAGAATGCTTACTTTTATACAAGTTATATACTGTGAAGCCATTTGCAAATGATTTGTGATCCCATTGTAGTTTAATCATGAATCATGATTTTTTTCTCCAGAAATTGCTCCTAAGAGGTCTAGTTATTTACTCTTATTTGCACTACACAGTTGCTAAAATCAATTGTATCTATTTTAGTTTTCTCAAACTTTTAAAAACTATCCATAATTATCACAACCCTATTTCGTATTTGCTGTTTCACCACCCACTCAGAAAATACTAAGATTTAGGTGCACTTCAAAATGCAAGACATCCTTACTTTCCATTTCGAAAGAGAAGCAATCATTTTTACCTTGCACAAACGTAAGAGCACAGTTCAACTCAAACCACTTTAATATATGGAAATTTCACTGACAATAAATTATTACTATTTGTAAATACAATTTTCCTGAGTAAATTTACTATATTCTAGTAAACATAAGAATAAAAACATTGTGCTACATCTAAATTGGGTCCAACTTTTCCTCTCAAAATAACAAACCAGAGAATAAGAGTGCTGTATTTAGGATGTAATATAACTTTTCAATATTCCTGAGGGTAAATAACTAAATGCTATTTTCCAAAGAAATAATAAATATGGTTTGGGATAAATTAGTAAAATTATAATTTTTTTTCTACTGTGAATTGGTAATATTTTAATGTCTTCCAACATGGCAAAATACTATGATGGTACTCTGTTAAAAAAAAAAAAAAAAACTAGTTTGGGGCAGAGGAAATCCTCTGTAGGATAGCAGCAATAATGAACATGTCATTATATGATTGACAAAATCCATATGACATATAACAGGAAGAGTAAATTAAATGTAAACTATGGTTTTAGGTAACAATAATGCATCACCACCGGTTCATTAATTGTAACATATTTCACACTAACACAAGACATAAGCAAAAGAGAAAATTATGTGTAAGGACAAAAGGGGATATGGGAGAGTTCTGTACTTTTTGATCAACTTTTACATAAGACTAAAATTACTTTCTTAAAAATCTTAAATTAGTTTGTTGGAAATTATTGAATTTTATTCAATACCTAATTTCTAAAAACTTAAAGTTTGATTTATTTTTTTAATTCAACCATTAATAATAATTTATTACAAACTGATTAAAATGAGAATTTTGGCACCACCTATTTCATTTATAATCTGAAATTTTAAAAAATGGTTACCTCTTACCATAGACTTAAAATACGAAGGTTATTATTGAATGATAGACTTCTAATTAGCATCAAGATTCCGGGAACTCTGAATTGATATCACGTTAGCAATAGGGCTACAATGCCATTTCTAATAAACTTGTCCTCGAAGCCACACTCCTACATTTGGATATTCTGCTATTCTAGTAAAAGGATAGTTTAATTTCACAGAATATAAGGATATCATTAAATGCCATGTGGATATATGTTCCACTTTTTAAAAGACTGGGAATTCTCATCTTGATCTCAATTATAATAAATAATATTGAATCCAAACCAGTTACCTCAATTCTACCTCAGAGAATACACTTATAAATCAATAGAAATGTTCCAATTTAAGGTTATTTACATAAATATTGCTCACTACAGTAATAAATATCTGGCCATATCAGGAATGAATATGGGCACATGTTTACTGAGTATTATAGAACCAAGTAACTTGGCAGATTCTCTTTGCAGAGGAAAGTTTAGAAATGACAGAAAGGCAATCTTCATTCCAACACATTTTAATTTGTTGTTTAGAACTCTGTGGTGTCAGAATACAAACTTATAAACACGATTTTTTTAAATGCCTTTGGAAAATGTCCTACTACAATATTTATAGCTCATTATATTCAAAGTATAAAGCACTGACTTTTAAATCAGTTGCATGAATTATAACTCAGTGCCATGATGACATGAATAATAATGCAAAAATCAGATTCATAATTTACAAAAATGTTGGTTGATAGATTGAAAAATTGATATTTAAATCAGGCATTTACAATGTATGAATAAAAATTTTTTAATCAACATGAAAATATCATTTGGGGGATTAATGTTAGTTATAAATAGAAATACATGTATTTTTCACATTTTGCTGCCACTATCGATATTTACATGACAAAAGTTTAGACAATACTGTGTCATCAATCCAAATTATTTCGAATGTGACAGAACTGTCATCACCAAAACCCATATTGAAAATATTAACACATTCATCACCAAGTATGTCTCCAAGAGAAGTATCATTCAGACTTTCCATACATCTGTATCACAAAAATATTATTCCCCAAATCTTGACCCTGACCATAGCTATACACACAGGTATATATATAAATAAAAATATACAAAGAAATGTAGAAAGACACTTGGATAAACTATTACAGAATCACATTCTTGATATAAAATTTAAATCATTTATCAATGTTTAGAAAATGTAATGGAATTTCTACTGTACTTTTATGACTAAGATATATGAAAATAGAGGTAAAGGTGGGCAAATGTTACCAAAATATAATAGGGTTGATATGACTTTCAGTAGATTTTTATATAAAAGACATTCACATAAATGGCTCCTCAAAACAATGAAAAGCAAAATAACACCCTTCACCCATCAACTTACATTATAAAGGAGCAGGTTCAAAGTGCTGACAAATGTTCCATTGTTCTCTCTCACAGAAATAGCAGCTGAGGACCTAAAACAGATTTAGAAGAGGGAAAGCAATGGTAGGATTTTAAATTAAAAGTTTTAGTTATAAACTAAGTCTGACATACTTTTAAGTAGGCCTGGAGTAGGTGTACCATTTAAATCATCAAAAGATAATCAAAAAGCAAAGAGGACCAAGTAAAGGACAGATTGTCCTTTATGATCTTTTCTATTTATAAAGTGATCTTTTATATTTTGCAGTATGATATGAGACTTTTTGCAAAAATAAAAAAGAAAAAGAAAAAACAACTATTTCATAGAACTTGAATCTGATACAAATACACTTTTATCAATTTCATTAGAAGTTTCTGAGATCAGGAATTTTGCTTGACCTTATTCACTGCTAGAACATTGCATCAGCAAATAGCTAGATGTGTAATAAATATTGATTGAATAAATGAATGGATTTCTGTGGATAGTAAAGCTGAGGAATGTGTTCTGTGTGAGGGTTGGAGGACCTAGTGTGAGATGCTTCTTTCTACATCAGTAATCTTTTTTTTTTCTTAATTTTTTTTCTTTGTCTGTAGGTCATGCCACATTCCTGGAAAATTGCAGGTGCCTGTGCACCTCTGAAAAAGTCATGGAGACTCTGTCATCTGGAGCAGCAGAACCCAAGAGTGAGAGCATATAGCAGAAGGACAGGCAGGACCAATAATGTGGTAACCAAATGCCCTACATATTGGAGGCACCACAGAACCGTCAGAACTATTCAAGTAACCCTGGCTCTTAGGCAACTGGAACAAGGAAAATATAAGACAGGCAGACAGATCAGTGGATGGATATCATACTTAATATGGCTTCCATTACTTCGTTTGAGTTTGGCTATTCTCAACAACTCCTGCTAACTTTATAAGTTTTTCAAAAATAAGAAATGACCCAAACACAAAGATAATATGAGAAAGCAAGAATAAAACATGAACTCACGAAGCAAGCTGGGTGTTATTAACCAGGTATTCCAGTGGATAGCTACAACTAAATTTGTAAAGAAGTCCAGGTAGGTAGCTGATGATTGTTGGTGGGTCTGGAGTATCAATATATCCTGAAATATTTCCTATTTGTACTGAAGTTGCATTTCCATAAGCACTGACACCAGGAATTGTGGACACCTGTTAGAATGGAAGACCAAGTTCAGTGATTCAATGGTTATATATAAATGTAGGCACTTGATATGCAGATGAAACATTAGATGAAATCATTTCTAGCTTCTAGTTCAACTGTAACATGCTGTGGTTTTTAAATTATACAACATAATGCTATTTATAAGTGATTAAATATCTTTTAAGTAAATGAAACCTCCATATTTGCCAGACACTTGACTCATATTTTATTAATGAGAGAGGAAAAAGATTTTATATATATATAAAAGCTAAAATGAGTAAATAAAAGACCCTCTGGCATAGTGTGAATGGTCCTCCCTATTAACTGTACCCTGTTTCCACATTAGTGTCCTGTCTGCAGGCTCCCACTCTTAGCAATGTTGCTCCTGTCCCAAGCTCTTGTTGCTCTGGCCTTTGTGGACAGGTCTTCTGCTACCTCTCCCCTCCCCACTTGGCCATGCTATACCTTACTCCACAGGATCTCATCTTCCCAGGTTAACATCCTCTGCCCCTGACTTCCCCACATATAGGGTTTATTTCTATCACAGCAGCAGGTATAGCACCTGAGCATCCTGATCACTGGGTAGAACCCTTCCACATCCCCAGAGCTCTCTGTGAGCAGGACTATCTGGGTCCTGTTCACTTTCACATTTTCAAACCAGCACCAGCACTGTAGGCCTCACAAATAATTTCTGAACACATAAATAAAAGTCCCAAATTTTCTGAGGATTACTCTTCCCAGCAACTTCCTCTGTGGTTCATGCAGATTCTGATTCCCTTCTGGGGAAAGAGTTAATGAACTTCAGTAGTTAGAGGAAGATATTTTCTCTGTGTGTATTTTCTTGGGACTGTTCAACCTTCTTTTGATTATAGAATCCTACTAAAATCAAAGAACCAGCGATTTAGGAATAACCAATATTTCTGATCTTCCTCAGACCAGAGAACTTTAGGTATAGTTTCTTCTCCCACCATGACAAATACAATAGGGCACTTAAGTTCTAACTGATACCTGCAATACTTAATTTCCAGCAATAGGTTAGATAAACTTCACGTGTGAACCTAACAGCACGTGAGAAAGCTGAGGCAATCATCTAGCTAATTCATCCATGGGGCAAAAATGCTTGTGAATGAAAAGATTTTTGTTCTAATCCAGTGATTTACTAGTCTACTTAATTTTTCTCATGGAAGAGTGCCTTTGGAACAGACTCCAAAGCTGGTGACGTCTAAGATTCAAAATGAAAAATAACCAAAACTTCCCCTCTTCCCGCTGTTGGCCTAGATCACTAAGTATACCTATTCTGTCTGCAAACACACACACACAGAGTAATTTTTATATCAGAAAATTCTTCAGCTCTTAAAAACAATGTGAAAGCACACCCAGAAAGAAACAGTTTTCCTGGCTTTTCTCCTGGATTATTTTCTAGGCAGCTGGACAAGGTGACTTGAATCCTTAAAGGAAAGGCTTTGGAGGGTGGTGGGATGAGGGGAGTGCTGCTGTCTCCATATCTCCATGTGGGCTCCCTCCCTCCACAAGGAGACAAGACATGCAATAATCAACCTGCTTCTCTCTCCCTTAGGCCCACTTCATAACCTCTCTGCACACAACTCAGAGAGATGAATAAACGTTTTTAATAAAAAGAGTCAACAATACCCAACATGCAGGCTTGGAAGCAGTCGTGGGCACAATATTCTAACTGCCCTTTGGGTAAAGATAAAGAAGGAGATTCAAATAAATTCCCTGTCTTCCAGCTCCCACCAAATCTTACAAACCATACCCTCAGAATAACCAAGGCTTCCCTTTTAATCCCAAACAATAATTGTGAAGAGTAAAAACCAAGGCCTCCTTTTTTAGTGGGCAAAGTGGTCATGCACATTACATCCCAATTTCTGTCTTTGGTAGGATTTACCAATAATCTAAACAAGAAAAGTAAAAAAATAGTACAAACCTAGTTTCAGTGTGACTAATACCCCCATCACAATACATTCACTTCAACTAATTTTCATTCTCTGGAAAGATAATTCCTTATTCAATTCTATTTTTGGTTCAACAAATGAATAAATAAATGAATGGTGTACACTGCTAGTCCTCATTTGGTATGGAAAATCTCAAAGCACTCTTTGAATTGCAAAATGATTGAGAAGAGTGCTAGTAACATTCCATGTAAGAATGCATATGCTAAACATTTTGAAATGCTAAGGACAGTCCCACATAAGGAAGAACTTCACACTAGCAACACTGGCAGCCCTCTTGCATAAAGCACTGAGGTTGTTCATTCAACGGTGAACATGAAAGTGAAGAGTAAAAGAAGAGTTCAAATTCCTCATTTTATCTTTAATCATTCAGAACAAGGTCACTCCAGCAATAGGCCAAGTGGTTCACAGCCAAACAAACTGCAACACTGCATGATCACATACTTCCATGAAGCACAGAGCTAATGAAAAACTTTAGAGAAATGCCCATGGTTGTCATTCACTCCAAAGAATGATGTTCAGAGAGGCACAGCTGACCTCAGACTCTCAATGCGCTATAAACATAACTATATTGAAAGGGAGAATTGTATACTTGGGAATGAAAGCTTCGAAGTTAAAAGAAAGTGATGTGTCCAGTTTTATCACAATTTTTTCTTGGAAGATAGACTAGGCTTCTGATTATTTCATGAAATGGTAAGATTTTTTTTATTTATGACCCTAGACCTAGCACACAGTGTCACACTAATCTTACCACTAAGTTGTTTCCACAGCCCTCCAAGGTGCTGAGATTGATGATGAAAATGACCACTGCTGGGAAGGTGTTGTTGTTGACGAACCCCCTGCAGTGGGAATCCCCATGCCTTCCATTCAGTGCCAGATCTGTTTCAGAATACCCCGAGAAAAGTACTGTGCAAAAATTAATCTTCATCGTAATAGTCTGCACTCCACAGTAGACATTGATGTCTCTTTCAGCTGAAATAAAAACATAAAAAAGCGCGGTAGAGTACACGAATAAATTTTACAAACCATGATACATTTATCATCATCTTAGTCTAACTCATTTCTGAACTTGAATATATCATAATCCAGTGTGCAAGTTATCAGAAGAGTGATCAGGAAAAATAGTCTTTGATTTGGCTATTTTAGGAGAGCTCTTTTGAGTGTAGAGATTATAGTTTACCTCTGTTTCCTTGTGCCTGCTGTTCAGTGGGTGTGCATTAAATGTCTGTCCAGTACTATTGAAAGAATTGAGTGGGAAAAAAAAAGCAGGTTACTGAGGAAATTCAGAACTAGAGTAACTGAATTATTCAGATCACCTGTCTAAAATGAAATTCAGTTCAAATGATGCATTTTCCCAAGTGAAAAAAGAAGCAGTTAAAATCCACCCTAAACCAAATTGTTAGGCACTTTGGTATTTGACAACTCATCTTATCCAGAATGTAAAAACAAAAGCCATCTAGAGGAATTAGAGTAATTCCTTTTTATTTGTCCTATATTAAATCACATTAGAAAAATAAATAAATAAATAAATAAATAAATCACATTAGACAAAGGGGATGAGAAATAGGGTGCTGATATTATGAACAGAAATGCATACCATGCTCTAAGAAAATTCTAATGACTTTGCATGCCAAAAAAAAAAGGAATGAAGTAGGCAGGAAATGTAAAGCATAATTTGCATTGTTCTCTGTGACTCCATGAATAAGAACTATCCCAGGTCTGTGGAATACAGCACAAGCGTGAGTGAATGCACACACACGCATGCACGCGCGCGCACACACACACCAGCTTTCCATAACTTCATTAATTATTTTTCCACATATGATAGAGAGTTTGGGATTCTTCACTGGCAGAAGATTTCACTTTTACCAGTTTGGTGACTTCTATGAATTGAATTGTGTCCTCACCCCCAAAACTATAGTGAAATTCTAACCCCTCCTTGTTCGGATTGTTTTTGGAAATGGGGTTGTTGTTCAATTAGTGAAGTGAAGAGAAGGTCATACTGGAGTGGAATGGGCCTCCAATTGAATAACACTGATGTCATTATAAAAGGAACTACTATGAGGAGACCAGGCAGAGAGAGAGCACCAGGTAAAGACAGGGTTGGAGCCATACATCCAGAAGCAAGGCACACCCAGGACAGTCCTGGCACACCACCAGAAGCTGAGAAGAGGAGAAAGGATGCTTCCCAGATTCCCAGAGGGAGCACAGGCCTGCCTTGATATTGAGCTTCTGGCCTTCAGAACTGTAAGACAATAAATTTCTAATGTTGTAAACCACCCCATGAAACAATAAATTTCTATTGTTTTAAGTCAACTTTGTTGTATTCTGTTACCGCATGCTAGGAAACCCAGTACAGTAACCTCACCACCTTCTAACTCTGCTTTTCCTTTTAAATAAAGACGCTGACGCAAGCTTCAGCTTTTCAAAATGTGAAAACAAAGAAGAACTGACTATTTGGAGAATTTACCTTGATTGAAATTCAAACAAATAAAACATATTTTGGGCAAACGATAAGAAATTCACTAAGAAATAATTAAATGTCATTCAAGATTTTTACCATAGAATTAATTTGCTTAAATAATTCAGCCCTAATTTAACAGTAGAAATGTTCAAAATCATATTTCTTTGGAATAATTTTTCACTATACATTTTTTTGCCAGCAAAATGAGTCATATTTTGAGGCTGTAAATAAGTATGTACATAAATTTCTATGTTTGGTAATAGGTTTAAACTCATTGTAATTATACATTAAAAAGGACAGAATTTTTTTTTCCCAAACAAAAGGCAAATACTAGGCTGGGTATTATGGAAAATTTCAAGCAATATTCATTTTATGAGTAAAAAAAATGAGATAAATTATTTAAGAATACATTTTATCACTATAAAAATAATACATAGCATTTAAATTGGGGGGGGGGGAATATCTCTATACCCTTTAGCAACATTAACTGTTGCAGTGCAACTATTATTTCTAAGTGATATTCTTTCCTAAAATAGTATAGTTCATTTCAAAAAATGCTTTTTGAGTATCTGTAAGCTTTAAACTACATCTTAAACTCATTGATTTTTCTCCATCTACTTGCTATTCCTGGGCCCATTATCATTATCTTTCCTCTGGAACATTGCATTAACTTCCTAACTGGTTCTTTTACCTCCACTTTCAACCATTTTGCTTAGTACAGTTGTTAACACATTAATGCGGTTATGTCCACTTCTCCCTCAGATCTCCAACAGTTACTCTTTTCACTTAGTTCAAAGTCCACATCTTGAGCCAGGTTCTCAAGGCTCTTCATGATCTGCCATCTGTCCAGCACTGCATTCTCACTCCTTCTCCTACCACACTACTCCCTTTATCTATTACACTGAGTGTCTTTCAGTTATCTGAAAGCATCCCACAGAGTGATAGAGTGATAGATGTTCAAATAGTGGTTATCTCCTAGGGTGGAATTTTCTCAAGAAAAACTTGAGGGGAGATAAAAATGTTCTCTATCTTCCTCTGGATGGGGCAATATACATGTATACGAATGTTAGAATTTCAAACTGCATTAAGATGGTACAAACTACTTCAGATTGGTGCATTTTACTAGGTATACATTACTCCTCAGTAAAGTACTGTGAGCATTTAAAAAATCATGACACAGCTTTATGCACAAGACCTTCATACAGTGCTTTCTTCTGCTTGAAACACTCCTCTATCCCCAAGCCTTGATTAAGTTACTTTACTCATCTATTAGGTCTCAGGTTTCATTTCCTTTTCCCAAAGATTCCCCTGATCACAAATCAAAAGTATGCCCCTTTATTTTACATTGTCATATTGTTTTTAAAACATTTGTATATTTCTCCAGTAAACTGAAAGTCACAGAAGGAAAAAAAAAAAGCTATTATATTCACTGATGCACTCCACGAGTAATTACTTAATTACTCAATAATTACTGGACAATAGATTGCACTGAGGGTTTAAAAATTAGTCATCCAGAAATAGGCAAAGTGATATAGGCCTCTAATCCCAGAGACTGGAAGACCGAGGCAGGAGGACTACAAATTCAACACCAGCCTCAGCAACTTAGTGAAACCCTGTCTCAAAATTTAAAAAAAATAAAATAAAATAAAAATAAAAAGGACTAGGGATATAGCTCAGTGGCAGAGCATCCTTGGGTTCAATCCTCAGAATCATAAAAGAGAGAGAAGTAGTGGTCCTGTGTCTGTTCTGAAGTGTATCTGAGTCAAGGAGAAGACACATTAAAGTGGCCCACATTGACATAAACATCCATCCAGAGAGCTTTCAGGTGGCAGAGAAAGCCAAGCTCACCTAGTTAGACCAGCTGGTTAGGAATGCCTTCCTGAAGAAGATGGCATTGATTTTAGTTTGAAGTATCAATAGAAGTCAGCTATGTAAGGGGAAGTGTGAATAATGAAATATGCTCAGGCTGATTGGGAGCCAGACAATTTCATTTTCATTAGGATTTAATATGTAAAGGGAAAAATGACAGGGAAGGAGACCATGTGGCAGGCACAAGAAAGATCAGAGGAAACCTTTACAAAATGATCTTAAAAAACAGTTTCTTCAGGGTAACAAAATGTTTACCTGAGTGTCCAATCCAATCCCCAGCTATTAGAGAGTTCACTGAGAATTTGCTTTAGGCTCAGTGAACAAGTTTAATTGCACTGCATGATAAAGTAAATACATATCAATAAATATGTCACCGAAAAGAGATATGTCACCAAAAAGAGTTATCTTTATCCTTAATTTAAACCAGCCCCAAACTTCAGCTTCCTCACCTCTGTTGGATGGGATTAACTGATGCTGAGAATACCTTAACAAATGGAGATGATTGCAATATCAAATGTAAAGCTCTCTTTTGCTTTCTGCTTTACAACTGAAGACTTGTAACCCCTGTATTGGAACTGAATCTGCTGTAGGCTGATCCCACCTGAAGATATGGTCACGAATTAAAGGCTTTGAGCAGTGTAAGAAAAAAAGATCTGTTCAAATCCATTCTAAACCAGTTTTCTAAAGACTTTTTACTAGCCTTCAGAGAGAAACACATTTTTTTTTCTTTTTTTCTCCTGGTTGTAGATACTAGAGACATTAATTCAGCTAAACTTTACCATTTAGGAGGCTTTGAGGGGAAAAAAATGATACTTCATGTTGTCAAAGGACAATTTCTGCCAAAAGAAGAGATTTTTTTTTCATAGTTACTGAATAACCATTGCTTTCAACAGCTAAATATTTTGAGTTTTTTACTGTCCATGACTGGCCTGAGTTAAAACATTCCTTAGTACAATACTTGAGTATTAAACAATGAGTACAAGTTAATGACAAAAATATAAAGAAATACATATCTTTAGAGGATGATGTTTAATATTTTAGGTATAAAGATACCAAATGCATTTAAGCTGCAGAACTGCTTACAGAGCTGATGTAGTTATATTGCCAAAATGTCAATATATTGCCCTGAAATTTTTATCCAAGCTATTTTTATAGAAATATTTAGAATACAATATTCAATCAAATTGGTAAAAATAATGTTCTATACTCCACTCATATATCCATCAGGAAATGGTATAGTTAGTCTGTCTCACATTTTCTAAAATTATGCTAATTCTAAATAAGCTGTCACACTGCCAACCATCTACTTTATCATGTATAAAAATGTGTTCTGCCTTTGAGATTCGTAAAATAAAGTTACCATGTAAATGGGATTCCAAGGGGATGGATCCCATTCCATATATGTAAATCAAGATACTGCACAACTTCTTTATCCTTGGTTGTCCTATTCCTAGAAACATTATTCCCACCTTCTCCTTAAGACACACTTTCAGACAACATATTTGCAGCATATCATACATCTATCTGATAAGCATACCTAACTTTGTTCTTTCAACAATTTCAAAGTCAACTTGCTTAAATCCAGCAACATCCTAATGAAGCTAGATTCTATTAGATTTTGATTCATGGAAACATTTTC